TAACCATATTCCAGTTCACCTGAAGAGGACAAGTCATTAAAACATACACTGAATTACATTCTGTTAACTGAGCTTATTTTAATTAAAGAAATGGACTTTCTAAGTCTTAGAACAAGCTATAGAGGACAGATGCTATGCTAGCTTCTTGGTACAAAACCCCTGTAACAAAACTCTTACTTTTATCCTATCAAATCTTTTCTAACCTGATCTCCACCAGTGAACTACTCCAATAAGGACCGTTCGGTTGTACGACAGCTCAGTCAGCACCAGCACCCCTGCCATGGGGCAACACCTGTGCCCTCGCCATGCATTCTGCGAGCTGTCCAAACCATGTATTTACTCATTGCCTAGTTTTATCCAGCAGAAATACACACTTCCCTTCTTCACTTAGGATATTGTGCTAACAATGTTATATGAGAAAGAAACATGTGAAGAACTAAAAGAACATTTAACAGAAGAGTCTCAAATAGTCTGAAATACATCAGGTACAGCATCAGGAAGGGAACATAACATACACGTGCAACGTGTTAACCCAAGCCGGCCACATCTCTCTGCGGCAATCACAGTGCTTCACAGCTGCTTTAACAACTTCACTCTGAATTACCAACCATTTTAATACTAAAATGAAGACAGCAGTCTTTCTTAAATTAGCAACTAGAACAAGGCCCTCTCTTCCCCAAGAAAATGACAACAGAAAGAAAGGAAACCAGGTGAGTGTCAGGTCCTGGATATTTGCACCTCGTCATAGCTATGTATTGTAGTAGTACAAGGTTCCTTTCAGTATGCGTCAGTAGAATGGTGAGGCGGGGAACAGAAAAGTCTGCTGTGGAAGGACACCTAGGAGAATGATGCTGTATCCTAATTCTTTTTGTTTTAGGTGGAAAATCTTAGAATATTAACTTTGTTTTGGCATTTCATGTTTTAACACCTTTTTAAATAATGAGGGTCAGCCTTTTGGTCTGTAATGCAACTTGAAGAGTGTCTCAAACAAAATATTATAAGGTGATTCTGAATCAAAAAAGCACACTGTGCTACAGCACATCACTGCCTCTCTAACATCATCTTTACAAAAAAACCCCATATTTTAGAGAAGAAAAAACAGTTTTTAAAAAAAGGCTGGATGTATGCAGGAAATACCTTGCTGCAATTCTCTGCATTTTGGGGTCTAAACAGACTGGTTAAAAACTTGGCACCTGTTATATCTGGGTAAGTCACTGGTCCACCCACTAATATTCCGTTAAAGGGACAGAAAACCCTGCAGCTCTTCAGATAGATAAGAAACAACTGCTAGAAATAGGTTTGTGCCTACAATCAACTCTTCTCTGTTGGCTGCTTTTGCATTCTGATATAATGAAAAGCAGCTTTGCACATGCATTTCCACATCATTTTTACTAGCATTGCCTCTTAGCAGTAGTGCTTTATTACCAAAAATTTGCTTTAATCCTTTTAAAGTCAGCAATATAAACATTTAATTCATAAAAGTTTATATAACTGCAGTAGCTTTGCAAAAGTAAATGAAAAAAGTGAGTTGTCACTGCAACTGCTGCCAATGCACAGAACTACTCTAATGGTAAACATGTCCTTCCTGTATTGGTCCTGTATGAACCACCATATACCGACATCTTGTGCAGACTTGCTACATTAAAATGAATTTCACGTTTCATGAATGTCATACTTCTGTACATTACCCAGCAGAGTGCAAGTATAAATATGTTGGACTCCCCTCCTACAGGCTCAACACCAGGTACACCTTTAAAAGTGCTATGCAAGGTTCACATGAAGTACAATCTCAAAGCCTCTGGAAATGTGTAATGAGGCTCTATGCCCTATAAAATTGTCAGTTAACTTTTTTCTTTCCTATTCTATCCATATATTAACTTGGTTAGAAAGATTAACCTTGGGCTCATTCTTGAAATTGGAAGTTGTTTGTTGTTTGTTTTTCTTTTACTTTGTTTCTCCAAACTTGCACCAAGACTACTTTTACACTTCCCCTCCAACCCTCACCTCCCACCACCTCAGTTCATTAACAAAGTTTGCTTAGTTGCAGCTTACGTTTGATATGGACTTGACACCACAGTACCGTATGTTCATATGAACATCTGATAACCTGTGAAATAGAAATCACATCTCCCAGTTTGTAAAGCATTAGCTACCTTCTCTCGTATTTGCAGAGACTAAACATATCACTTGCTTAAAAAGAAAAAGTTAAAATCTTTATTATCCTCATCTGTCCCTCCAGGTATATCTGAAGCAAGTATCAGAGGGTCTACACGTGCTAGTCCTCTTTTGTACAGAAGCTGAAAAGCCTTTTCAGTTCCCCTCTGACCCCCAGAAGAAACATGCACTTCAAGCTGTGAGCTAGGCCAGGCCAGTGTATTTGAGGTTCTGCTACAGAACAAACATTTGTATTTTGCTCTTTTGAGAAGAGCAGCTTCAAGAGACATATCTAATATAGCTCCTCTAGAAGAGTAACGGTGTTTGGCAAATGAACACACCAGAATGCAAAGCTGAACGCTCTGAGAGCAGTTTGAGAGACGTGGAGCACAAAGAAGACCTAAACAGTCAGTTAAATCCTGTGTTGTTTCAGACTGAGGAGGATTCTCCTAAAGATCTGTGTTCGTACAAGTTCTCAAGTGCGGTGTCGCCAGTCGCCAGCCAGACTGCTCGCCCAGCTGCTGTGGCGCTGATGCAAAAGAGCAAAGGCTGTCATAGCACAATACAGCTTAAAAAGATCCAGAGCAAGAAACTGCCTGAAGTTTTGGTATTTTAATGACTCCTACAGTGTTTTCAACAAACTACCCTCTGCAATACAAACATTTTATTCAGGGATGTATCAGGATGATTATTTAGGGAAAGTATATGAATTGCTAAGTACAGACATGTCTAACAGCAGAAAACTGGTCCGAGACATCTACTTTTTCCAACAAAACCTAGCTCGGTTAATTTCCACGGAACCTTGCGATAGCTGTATTTCTAATATTATTGTTCTCAATAAAGCAGAAATTTTAATCAAAATGTTAATGCAAGCCTTGCAGAAAACTTGCCTGTATTTATTTAAAAAGCTAATTGCAGTGAAGTACAGAGGGGAAAAAACCCACCAACCTCAATTCTGAAATTAACTGAATTATTTATGTATTGTTTCTATGCTTTATTTAGGTTAAAAGAAAACTGTCTCCTGTAACTATGCGTTTAGTAGGATATGGCAGAAAAAATGTAAATATACTTGTATCAGATAATGCTACAGAATGTGTCCAAGCATTACAGAGAATCTGTAAAAAAAAAAGCATTACTTACAAGCTAGGTCTATGCACTGAAGAAATCTT